TTGAGCTCAGGAGTTCAAGACCAGTCTGAGCAAGAGTGAGACCCTGTCTCTACTAAAAATAGAAAATCCAGCTGGGCATGGTAGTGGGTACCTGTAGTTCCAGCTACTGGGGAGGCTGAGGCAGGAGGATGGCTTGAGCCCAGGAGTTTGAGGTTGCTATGAGCTGTGATGATGCCATGGTGCTCTACCCAGGGCAGCAGAGTGAGACTCTGTCTCAAAATAAAATAAAATAAAACAAAAACAAACCAGGCAGCCAACTCTTGCCAGGCATTTCAGAGGTCCCTGAACATAAAAAGATGACAAACTTGAAGGGAACAAAGGCAATGTGAGACACAGATGAAAATTTAAGAAAATGTAAATTTAATTTCTTCAAAGAGCTTTAAGGAAAGTTTCTCCAAAGAAACAGAAATTTAAAAAGAGCAGGACATGTAGAGGATAAGGAAGAGCTCTTGAAAAGTAAAAATGTGATCTCAGGAAAGCAACAACTAAGAGACGGCTTGGAAAAAGGATGACAAAGGGACCCAAAGAAATAGAAAAACAGAAAATGAGAGACAGAGAGAAAAAGGCAGATACAGAGAGAGGTGGAGAAGTGGGAACAAGCCTCAGTCCTGACTGTGCCAGAGGCTGGAAAAGCATCCCTGTGCAAAGGAAGAGTTTAAATAAGCGAACAGGCAAGCAAACTTACTCCTTTTCTATATTTTAGGACACTATTGAAATGAGAGTTGCAGTTCTTCTAAAAATGTTAAAATGGATTAATGACACATATATAAAAAGCAAAGCAAATAAAAAGCAAGTCAATAGAAAAAGTTGCATAAAAGGGGTAATTATAGCACACTGTTTAATTCGGTATGAATAATACAACCTAAATATTGGCTTAACTAAATTTGGTGCTATGTCTATACCAGTGGTTGAGGGAAAGAGAGAATAAAATCATTGAACAGATATTTTATAGAAAAGGAAGACAGAAGATAAAGACAAAATCAGGAAAAATTCAGAGAAGAAGAATAGCCATATTGTCTATAAATATGGAGTTATATACGACAATAACTATAAGAGACTGACACAGGGATTCCTGGATATAAGAAATTGCACATAGAGGGAGCAGGCCAGAGGACTATTACGTACTATTACGGACGTCATAGTAATATTGCCTCTTAAGAATTATTTGCAAGTATTTACATACAAATAAATTTCAAAGCTTCTCGAGCATTTTTAGCAGGTATTAATGTCCCAGCAAGATGTGTTAGCATCATGAGAACATTTCATGATGATGGGGGATTCTGGTTAAAGCAGATCAGATAAGATGCTTTCATAGAGGCCATTTGAGGATGTGCTTTAGCAATTCCTCTCCTGTCTGTGCCAATGCGACCCCCAGACCAGCAGAGTCAGCATCAGCCTGGGCACCTGGCAGAAACACACACCCCAATCCCAGCCCAGACCTATTAAATCAGAAACTGGAGACAGAAATCTGTATATTATTAACAAGTTCTCCAGGTGACTCTGAAGCTTCTTAAGGGTTGAGTACCCCAATCTTTACAAATAGGAAAATGACAAAATTATCACATTAAAAAAGTCAAACTCATTAGCACAGCACTTGCCACAGTCACATACAGGGCTGATGACCGATACCAGGCTAGGCACGCCCACATCCTTTGGACCTGTCAGAAAGGTAAGTGCATAGCGCCAAACCAATCCTGGTGAATCTGAATAGAACTGCCATGGACCCAAAGCTTAGTCATCCAGTAAATGGCCCCTCAGCACTTGGATCTCCTTTCCCACGAGCAGTCTCAGGCCTGGACCCATTTGGTCCTCTCTGGGGTGGTTTTGCATGTCCTCTGTTTGACGACAAGAGTACAGAGCCATTACCTACGGCTTTGTAAAGTTAATATAAAGAACACTGTACCTGCACAGTCGAGATATTTCAGGCCCCTCGTTAGGCCTTTACTTGGTGAGCACTCTTTCCTCTTTGTGGTTTCACCTTGAGGACATTTTATTCATTGTGAAGTCTCTACAAATAATTAACTTGAAAAAAAATGCTGGCTGGGAATGAAAGAGACAGAATCCATTAAGTAGAAGCCACACATAATAAGTAATAAATAGGTAGAGCGAGGTCCCGAGCCTGTGGAAACATAATATCCTTTTGAATGGGTTCTGAGCAAAAGTTTCCAAGGGCAGCTCCTCGCAGGCAGTGTATTTGGCAGAGGTATTGCTCCACTGCTACAGCTTCTATGCTCAGGGATGTGACATGTCGAGTGAAAACTAGGGTGTGCTATTACTGTAGGGAGGATGGGCTCTGGGGGTGCCTGGTGCTGTTTTAGCTGCTGCTAACTTAAAACATGTCGCAAGGACTCTCAGTGTGGAAATCTCTGGTGAATACTAAGAACTTGCCCCTCAATTCTGAATTCAGGCAATCTTGTTTATCTCAGCTACAAATGGTGATAACAGCAAACAGTCACACTTGAGAATCTCCATATTCTTCTTAGTAAAGTATGTCAAGAATGGGGGAAAAAAAAAAAAGGGGAAAAAAGTGTCCAGTGTACT